ACCCCTGAGAGGTCCTGGTGGCCTCCTGGGATTTATGGAGGACTTGGACACCTGGGGGTCACCTGGACTTGGACACCTGGGTGACCCCTGAAAGGTCCTGGTGGTTTCCTGGGACTTTGGTAGGACCTGGGCACCTGGGTCCATCCTGAGACCCCTGAAAGGTCCTGGTGGTTCTCCTGGGATTTATGGAGGACTTGGACACCTGGGGGTCACCTGGACTTGGACACCTGGGTGACCCCTGAAAGGTCCTCGATGACCTCCTGGAACTTTGGTAGGGCCTGGACACCTGGGTCCAACCTGAGACCCCTGAGAGGTCCTGGTGGCCTCCTGGGACTTTGGGAGGACCTGGACACCTGGCGGCCACCTGGACTTGAACACCTGGGTGACCCCTGAAAGGTCCTGGGTGACCTCCTGGGACTTTGGGAGGACTTGGACACCGGGGTCCCACCTGGACCTGGACACCTGGGCCTTTGCCTGTCCTGAGACCCCTAAAAGATCCTGGGTGACCTCCTGGACCTTTGGGTGGACCTGGACACTTGGGGTCCACCTGGACCTGGACTTTGGTCCGTCCTGAGACCCCTGAAAGGTCCTGGATAACCTCCTGGACCTTTGGGAGGACTTGGACACCTGGGTTCATTCTGAGACCCCCAACAGCTCCTGGCCACCTGGACCCCCCCTGGACCACCTGGGCCACCATTTCCAGACCACCTGGACCCCCTGGGCCACCATCTCCAGGTCACTGACCCCTCCTGGGCCACCTGGGCCACCATCTCCAGGCCACCTGGACCTCTCCTGGACCCCCTGGGCCACCATGTCCAGGCCATCTGACCCCTCCTGGGCCACCACATCCAGGCCACCTGGGCCACCATGTCCAGTCCACCTGGACCTCTCCTGGACCCCCTGGGCCACCATGTCCAAGCCACCTGGACCCTCTGACCACCACATCCAGGCCACCTAGACCCCCCTGGGCCACCATCTCCAGGTCACTGACCCCTCCTGGACCACCATGTCCAGACCATCTGGACCCCTCCTGGGCCACCTTGGCCACCATGGCCAGACCACCTGGACCCCCTGGGCCACCATCTCCAGGCCACCTGGACCCCTCCTGGACCACCATGTCCAGACCATCTGGACCCCTCCTGGGCCACCTCGGCCACCATGGCCAGACCACCTGGACCCCCTTGGCCACCATCTCCAGGCCACCTGGACCCCATTGGCCACCATGTCCAGACCACCTAGACCCCTCCTGAGACTTCCCACCACTCCAAGCCCCAGAAGCTTGTCCCATGTCCCCCCATTGTCCCCACCACCCCCGTGGTGGCAGCTCCTCCCCGGTGCCACCGCTGTGACAGGAAGTCACCCGGGGGCCACCAGGTCCCAGTTCCCGTTGTCCCCCGCGGCGCAGGCGCGTCACCTCCGTCGTCCCCGGTGCCACCTCCGGGCGCGGGCGTGGGACACTTCCGCCACCCCCAGGCCCGGCCGGGCCCCGCCACCAGCCCTGACCACTCCAGGAGGTCCACCAGGTCCACCGGATCTTCTCCAGCCGTGGGTGAAGAAGCAGGAGGAGCCCATCGGGCTCATCCGGACGTGGCGGTGGGACGGGGACCAACATCTGTCACTTGTCACCGGTGGTGGCCCCGCAGGGCCCCGGTTCCTCCGGTTCCTCCCTTTCCTGGGGGGAAGGGACCCCCGGCGCCGTGGGAGGTGCCCCAGAAGTGGTTGGAGGTGCTGGAGCTTTGTCCAGAGGTCATCCAGAGGTCATCCAGAGGTTCCTCACTGGATGTGGTCCTGCCGAGGTCACCAGCAGGGTCTCAGCTGGTGCTGCTCTGGACAGGAGTGGTGACATCGGGATCTCATCTCCACCAGGATCTCATCTCCACCAGGATCTCATCACCAAGATCTCATCTCCACCTGGATCTCATCTCCACCTGGATCTCATCTCTACCTGGATCTCATCTCCATCAGCTCCTGGCTAGAACTTGATGGTTGGATCCTCTTCCACCAGCTCCCCTATGGAATTGAATCCTGCCAGGACCCATCTCCACCAGTTCCTCCATAGAGGTTGATCCCACCAGGACCCACCTTCATTGAAGTTCATCCCACTAGGACCCAGCTCCACAGAAGTTGATCCCACCAAGACCCAACTTCACAAAAGTTCATCCCATCAGGACCAATCTCCACCAACCAGGACCCAACTCCACAGAAGTTCATCCTGCCAGGACCCACCTCCACAGAAGTTGATCCTGCCATGACCCAATTTCATTGAAGTTCATCCCACCTGGACCCACCTCCACAGAAGTTCATCCCGCCAGGACTCACCTCCACAGAAGTTCATCCCACCAGGACCCAAACTAATTGAAACTCATCCCACCAGGACCCACCTCCACCAGCCCCTCCACAGAAGTTGGTCCCACCAGGACCCACCTCCACAAGTTCCTCCACAGAAGTTGGTCCCACCAGGACCCAAACTCATTGAAGCTGGTCCCAGCAGGACCCACCTCCACAGAAGTTCATCCCACCAGGACCCAAACTAATTGAAACTCATCCCACCAGGAACCACCTCCACCAGACCCTCCACAGAAGTTGGTCCCACCAGGACCCACCTTCACCAGCTCCTCCACAGAAGTTGATCCCACCAGGACCCAAACTCATTGAAGCTGGTCCCAGCAGGACCCACCTCCATTGAAGTTCATCCCACCAG